GTCGTCCCCGGGCCTGCCGGTACCGGTGCCCGGGCCCGGGGCTGGGGCTTGGTCCCCACTTCGGAAGAGGAGGGGAGGGTTTGTCGTGTGCGGCAGTGGGCTGCGGCATTTTATGTCTTTTATGTCCCCTTGCCATAAATAGACGAACTAGTGGATATTTTAAGTGCTTAAGCAGAAGGCTTCTAAACAGTAATAGACTCTGAGAAATACACCTGGAAAAAAAAAATAGGTGTAGTGGGGGTGGTGGAGAGGGAAGACCCTGCCTCCCCCTTTTCCGTCTGTCTGTCTGTCTGTCTGTCTTCGTAAGCACTGTTTTGATCTGGAGAGGGAAAATAAAAATCGCAAATGAATGTAATGGATGCTACATTGGTGTAAAACCCTGCAAAGCTACAGGCAGGTGTTCCGATTTCAAAGGGTTTGTGGGCTACGGTTGAGTCGATATGGTACCAAATTAGTGCTTACCACTAAACTTTCAAGATAAAAAAAAATCTTGCTGTGTAACTTTGTTGGGACAGTTTTTTTTTTTTTCCGGAGCTTTTCAGCAGTACGTTGCCTCTTGGCCTTGCTTGCGCTTCTGCTCCCGCAGCAGCTCTGTCACGGTGGGGACGCAACACCCAGCAGTGATACAGATAGATACAGATGTAGATCCTGTTCTCTGGAAATGGCCTCGTCTGCTAGAGATGGGTCATGCCCGTCTCCCCAGGAGTGTGTGTAGTCACACAGACCTGAACCTGCCAGGGAGACGTCGTTTATGTTCAGGACTATTCCGGCAGGGCCGGCACGCTGTGTTTTCTGACTAGCCCTTCCGAGTGTAGCGACTGCTGGCTTGGTGACCTGCTGTGCTGCTGTATGTGAGCATGACAGCCAGCTGGCTTCCCCTGTCAGCCGCTTCATTTCTTCTTCCCTTTCACCTTGCAAGAACTATGATGTTGACTATGAAACTTTTTTTTTCTTCTTCTTCTTTTTTATCCTGCAAAGACCTGCTTCTCAGTAGGCTAGTGTAAAATAAAGTCACTTTTCTGGGTACCAATTTGGGCTATAAGGAAGACGCTATGTCTTTCTGATGGAGTCCTGAAAATCACCGCGTTAGCAGTGCGTTATTTCTCTCGAGAAACTTGCTTGTGCTAGTTTCGGTATGTGGCAAACTTCTCCTTAAATGCACATCTCTGTTTCTTGTTTTCCTCTAGGACCCAAATGAGGACACAGAGTGGAATGACATCTTGCGCAAAAAAGGTATCCTTCCTCCAAAGGAAGACCTGAAAAAACAAGAGCAGGCAAAAGAAGATGAGCAGCTTCAGATCCTGCAGAAGTCTCTTGGTGAGTGCCTGGGCAGGCTTGGGCAGCAACAGGGTAAATGTTGAAATGGTTTCTATGAGACACTTGAACAGCCAGCAATAATGTGGAAATGAGTCTGTAAATAATTATTTCCTTTTCTAAAAGTATAAGGGATAGCAAAGCTAATTCTTCCTTAGTGTCACCATCTATTACAATATTAGGCAAATACATCCCTAAGTGTTTAGAATTACTCCACTGCACCAAAACATTGCTCTAGATGTCAGCCCTCTGATTTATATGTATAAATCCTCGAAAACTGAAACAAGCACAGTTGGAAGGGAGCCATAATGAATGTGATAGTATAAGAAAAAAAACCCTACTGTGCGTTATCTTTTGCTCTGTGTGTGTGTTAGGTACCTCCCTGCTACAGTCACAGAACTTGAAAGCTAGCTCAGGTACTCATGGGCTAGCTGTAGCCACCCTTTGGGTCCAACTCCTTTACAACACCTTTCCAGCTATATGTCTAAAGTGTGTAGTAATATTTCAGAAAAATGCACTCACAATGATCTTGCAGAAAAGTCTTGTCTCCAATGGTTATTCTTTCCTTAAAGTAAATAAATTCTGATGGACTGCTAAAAGCTGTTGAGTTTTATTCCTGAAACAAGAGTTTTGCTGATTTGGTGTTTCTTGCATTCTAGTGAAAACTTATGAGGACATGACTCTGGAAGAGCTAGAAGAAAATGAAGATGAGTTTAATGAGGAAGATGAAAAAGCTATTGAAATGTACAGGTCAGAGCAGCATGCAGAACTTAGCTTTAATGAAAAGTGGAGTTAATTTGGGGGTAAGGGGATGGTCCTTTTTAAATGCCATTAAATATTGTTGAAGAGAAGGGAGGAAGGGTTTTCTTAGGCCTGGTGCTAGAAAATCTGAGTTGTGCTTCTGGTCTTGCGTAGAACTTCTAAATATTTTCGTTAAGATCCTTGAGTTAAATTTTGTCCTTTGTCTAAGGACAAAAAGAGAATAGCAGGGGTTTTGATGAGCTCTAAAAATCACCTCCAATCTGTTTCAATTTTTGCCTGAATGAAGTTATAGCACTGCAGGCTTACATAGTTATGAAGTAGCTTTTCCCTCATCCTGTTATATTTTGCAGTGTGGTATCTGCAGAAGAAATGTCTGCTCAGGAGAAAAAGGGCAAAAAAATACATTCTGTGGAACAGCTGTGGTTCTTCACATGCTGGCTGATTTAACTTGTGATGCAAATATAAGAACATCTGTTTTGGTCTGTGCTAACTTGCTTTTGTTGTTCTGGGAGGCTGGAGAAGTTTGTATCTGAAGGCAAGTCTTCAGGCTAGTAACCAGCCTAGTTAAGAGTTGTTCTGTCAAAAATGCATCTTTCTCAAAATTTCTTTCCCATTCCTTGCTGCTCAGACAGCAAAGGTTAGCAGAAATGAAAGCAGCTCAAATGAAGAATAAATTTGGGGAAGTTTTGGAGATTTCAGGAAAAGATTACGTTCAAGAGGTTACCAAAGCTGGGAAAGGAATATGGGTAGTTCTGCACCTCTACAAACAAGGGTAAGTGTGTTTTGTCTGTTTATTTTTGCTCTTAAAACTCTCACTGTCAATAGCTGGAAATGCTATAGACAAATTCATAGTTGATGTGGAAATTACGTAGTTGATTTTGGAATTTAAGAAGCAAAATATTGAATTAGTAATTTCATTGTTGTTGACTGAGGTCTGATTAACTTTAAACAGATGCTATCACAATATGACATTATTTTGTATATGTGGCAGTGATTTCTCTTCCTATCTATCTAGCTGCTGCCGGTGAAATACTGAGCTCTGGAAATTATTTTGGGTAAAGGAAGTGCTAGGGGCCGTGCATTCAGAAGAATCACTCTTTGTCTCCTTTGACCAGTTTTCTTGATGAAATGTCATGAGCAAGGGTTCAAAGAGGTGTAATAAGTTGCTAGAATTTTCTAGAAGAGGTTAGAAATATTTGATTTATTCTGTTGTTTTTTTGCTCATCACCTAATTCCATCAGGGGTATGCTTTTTCATCTTTTGCATCTCTTTTGCAGGAGCTACTTGTCTTTCTGTTTTCCCTTACTCATGCAGTATTCAAATATCATACCTTATAAGCCAGTTTCTCTATATGATAGAAGGGCAAGTTGTATTGCTAATATCTTGTTTAAATCAATCAAAAAAACACTCACCCTAATTTCCTTTGAAAAAAAACAAAAAAAAAAACATAGAAATTTCTGCTGGGGCAGATTACTCTCTGATTTGTCTGCCCCCCTCCCTTTTTTTGTCCCTCTTGCCTGTATTTGTCACTTTTTTTTTTTTTTTTTTTAAACAGAATTCCACTCTGTGCCTTAATAAATCAACACATGCAGGCGCTGGCAAGGAAGTTCAGAGACGTGAAATTTCTCAAAGCGATCTCCACCACCTGCATCCCCAACTACCCCGATAAGAACCTGCCTACGATATTTGTCTACCTCGAGGGCGACATCAAAGCCCAGTTCATCGGGCCACTGGTGTTCGGTGGCATGAACCTCACGCGAGACGGTGAGCGCCTCCCTCCTAGTCCTCCAGAAGAGAAAAAAGGGGAAGAGAATTCCAGCAAACAGCTTTGCTGGGAGGGGAAGAAAGGAAGTGAGGGTTGGAAGAAGGAGGAGGTAACTCGGATCATATGAGGAGGGTGCAGTCCTGGACACGTCACGTTTCCTTATCATTCTGCTCCCTTCTCCCCTGAACATGGGGGCGAGGGCCCTTGGGGCACCTCAGTGCTCTGTGCTCCGGCTCTTCCCTAAAAATTGTCCTTTGAAGCTGCTGGGGCAGGGACTGATATCCTGAAGCAGTGCTGAGTGGCAGAGGTCAACAGTGGAAAGGACTTTTACTATTATTATTTTATTTTTTCTTCCTTTTGGAGAGTAAATGGAGCTCTAAGATGTGACCTAGAGGATTTTACTTGAGTTAAAAGGATGCTTTCTGGGTAGATTTATTAGTCCAGATAACTGAGGTTGTTTTAAGGCAAGATTTTAAGAGCATTTTTATCTGAAATGAACTAAAGGAAGTGGCATTGCAAGGTCTCTGTTCAATGCTGTCACTTTGCCATTCTGGAATAGGATGCAATGGATTTTTCTCTACAACCCTGTAGTTTGCAGGTTATCTTGAGTGCGTGCTATAGCAAGTGGTCCTCTGCCTGGGCTTTAAGAAGGGGAAAAGCTCACCAATTAGATTATTATTTTGGGGACTGTATCTAAATGTAGTGGTGCGTAACTATAGACTGAATCAAGCAATAGCTGCAGAGCTTTTGGTCTTTTTTTTTTTTTTTTCATCTTTAGTACTTTTATTATTATTATTTTTTTATCCCTGGTGGGAGGGAAGTGTTGTCCAAAGGTAATCGAGTTAGCTTAACTTAGTGACCAGCTTTCTGTGAACTGAAATAGCACTTTTTTTTTTTTCCCTTTCCTTCTTTCTCCCCTAAGTCTGTGAAACTGGATGGCTTGAGCTGGATATTAAAGACAGCGTGAAGTTATGGTCATTAATCTGGACCATCCGAAGGAATTTGAATTTAATGATAGGGTTGCCAGCAGGAGTGGGAGAAAAGTTTCACCTGAATATATTGTATTGACCTGCTACCACTTCCAGCGTAGGCCTGTACAGTAATAGGCCTACCACTGACAGAGGAGCTTCTTTTACCCTCTTGCTAAGGAGCTAATAATAATAAATGCACTGAACTGTGCAAGAGGAATTTCATTTTTAAAATACATTCCTGTAAATACCTGTATTTCAGATGTGTGAATTGAATTGCTGAAACTTCTCTATCCCTCTGCATCCCAGGAAATGATTTATCTCCGAGCATCCTCTATCTGTGCAAACTCAGTGTATGATTTCTAATAGCTCTAATGCATCAGAATTATTCTTTCACCCACAGTGGAGGTGCAAACTTGTTTTTTCGATATGTGGTGACCTGATTCTTCAGCAGAAAAAAATGCCCTATCTACAGGGGCTGCTTTGCATCCCTCATCTCTGGAGGTGGCTCAGCTGGAGAGGATTTGGGAGATTGCCAGGGGCTAGGATCAGGCAGTGTAGGATGGAGAGGAATATAGCAAGGCCCCCAGGCCTGGTGGTAGGAGAAGAGCTGGGAAGGCAGGGGAGAAATTTGGAGATCTGGGGTCTTTCTTCCTTTTCTTCTTTTTCCTCCCTTCAAAAATCGACCAGAAATGTAGAGTGCTCTATATGGGGGTACATAAGTGAGGATATGTCAAAAAGAGTAAGAGTTTGAAACTTTTAAAAAGCCATGTTTCATTCCCTGTGTTCATGTGCCTCTCTATCTTTCCCCACGCAGAACTGGAGTGGAAGATCTCAGAATCAGGTGCCATCAAGACAGACCTCGAGGAAAATCCCAGGAAGCAGATCCAGGACCAGCTCATGTCCTCAGTCAGGATGTCTGCCCCGAGCAGAGGGGAGAGTGACTCGGAAGATGATTAACTCTTGCAGCAGCATCGAGGTGATCCAGTGCCCTGGCAGCCGGTGTTCCTGCCTAGAGACCCTGGGCGAGCTCGTGGAGATCTTGCTGAGCCACCAAGGGTAGTATTTAAATAGAGCAATTTAACTAGAAATTATTTTTGTTTCCTCTTTAAATTTGTTGTAACTTCACTGAAGATCCTGAAAGACGTTTTATATTATGAAGCCTGAGTAAATCTATTCAAAGTTTTAAAATACAGACATCACTAAAAATAGACGTTTTTTGTCATTTTTGTCTTAGTAAATTGCTGACCTGTTCTCAGTTTGAGATATGAAGTGGCCTAGAGCATTTTTCTGGTTTTTATCTAGCTTCTATTTGTGTAAATCAAATCTAACTCTATGTTTAAATTCAATCAGTTATAGTGCAGCATGTTGGCTGCCCTGGGCCCTGTAGATGTGGGACAGTCTGCACTGCGTGAAGAGTTTCCTTTGCCCAAAGGAGGAGGGTGGCAGTCTGTGACATGGCTACCAGAAACCAGCACTTGGCCACGAGTCTGGACCCTGATGTCACCAATGACAGCGGCATCTCCAGGCATTGCCCAGTTACTAAATTACTGTGTCTTTCCACAAAATCAAAAGTTTGATCTGTTGCTGCAGTGGTGCCGTGTCTGAACAAGAAGGAAAAGGATGTTTGAAAAGCAGATGTCTTTCTGTATTAATATATATATATATATATTTTTTTAGAAAAGCCTTCCATCTTCTCAATATAACAATAACAATTAACACTAGTATAAGAAGAAAGGGAGCTGAAATAAACCCTTAAGTACAGATCTGTTGAAACTCAGGGGTGCTGCTTGCTTTTTTCAGGGCGGGCGTAATGTCCACCTACGCTTTTCATTTGTCTGCATTTGAGCTAACAAGCTCTAGGTGAATGTGCTACCAAGCCTGCCCCAACTGCTGGGGGGTTTTGTGGGCGGTTGGTACAGAGTACAGCGTTCGGTAACCAGAGGGGTTTTTTATTTTGTTTTATATTAGTTTATAGTATCTTTCAATCTTGTTTCCTTCATTCAATCTCCCCAGTCAAATCAAATCAGTGTGTAGTTTAAATGAGTAAATGAGGAATTTTTTTTTTCTTGGAATAAATTTCAGATGAACTTGTAGGATCTTGATGCAGAATTTTCTCTTTGAAGTCTTGATTCTGATTTAAGCATCACTTACAAAAGAGCGACAAAGAGAAAGATTTATTTTTGACAAATAGCTCATCTGTTCTGCTGTTCAGTGAGTGACTCGCACTGTTTTGCCTATCCGCTTAGAGAGAACAGGAAAAGGATAGAGGTGTGTGTGGGATTTTATATTTGGTAGCTTTTTTTTTTTTTCTTTTAAATCTCTTTTTAAGTTCTTAGTGTGATATGATCATATGTAAATAAAATTTCCCAGTTTGTTTATTCTAGCTGCCTTTAAAACCCTCAGTGCAAATAAGCCAAGTGCAGCATGATACAAGATGATGAGCACTAAATATTAAACATAGCAGCTTCTGCTGGTGCTGGGTTATCCAAAACAGTATCCAAGCACATTCTTTCTGCATCATCTTAACAATATAAGAGGAGGACCGCTTTCTCCTCTTAAGCCCAGGAATTATTTTAGTTAGTTATTGGTAGATGATTACTCTCACTTGTGTTAAATAGGCAATGGTAGAAGAGATTTTCCTTATCCCAGGGTGTCCTTATTTAACTGTGCTTTGGCTCATGTGTTGGAGTGACCTCCTGGCACATGGACCATCCTTCTTTTGGAGGGCATGTGCCAGTCATCACCCGAAGGACCTGGCAGGGGAGATGCCAGGTCCTCAGCCTGTCTCTGTTCAGGTCTGCTCCTGCTAAGGTGCCCCACTTGCTAATACAGACCCAGCCATGCTCTTTTCAAATTCTGTTTTTGACCGCAAGCTTATCAAAACTTCAAGGAAGGTGGGGGAGGATATATGATCTTTCTTGCATCATTGCTGCAACAGCTTTCACATGAAAGGCAATCAAAAGTAGGTAAGGCTTTGAATATTTTGTTTCTTTCATTGTTCTCTGTCTTTATTTTCTCCCACGTGTGTATCTTGAGGAGGTTGGTTGTACAAAACTTTGTTGGTGCCTTTTTGCTGACAGTTAAGATCTATTAATGGCTCTCAGCTTGAGTTTGTGGCGTGAACCCTCCTGTGCAAAGGTGGTGCTGGAGCCCTTTTCCTCAGAAACTTTGGACTTTCCCTGCTTGCTCTTGTCCTCTCCTTCAGATGTGGCAATACCCATTTCCTTCTGGACTAGACCAGCAAACCAGTTTTTGCAAGATGCTGTCCTCTTAGCAGAGCAGCCTAATGCCTGGCGAATGAGGCAGGGCTGTGGGTAGGGGCTTGAGCCCTTCAGGCAGAGGTGAGAGGGACATTTGCTGACACTGATGGTGTCCTGTGCAACTGCAATCGCTGAATAACTGAAAGAGGACTCTTTGCATCATGGGCTTGTCTTCCAGCAGGGCTTTAAAGAAGAGGGTGCGTACCTTTCCTTTTTGTGCCGAGTCCCATCTGTCTGTCATGCTGGCACTTGAAATGCCTGCGCCAAGCCGCTCGTGGGAGCTGGGCTGCTGTAGGGGCTTCCCTGCCCTGGGCACACCGCTTGGAGCAGAGCCAGGGCATCGTTTCCCTGCACCGTTACTGGCCCAGGAGCTCGTAGCTCTTTGCAGTGGCCCAGGCTGCTCATGGCTGCTCTGAACAAAGTGAGAGCCATGACCCCCACATTCAGAGTTGACCTGGATGGTCCAAAAACAGCCCGTTGTCCAGTGAGGTCTGCTTTCAGCACTCCCACATAACAGTTCTGTCAACTTTCCCCTTCAAGGAGTGAGCCAGGTCTCCTTCCAGATTTTCCTTTTGGGGAAAGCACCCCTTCCTCTGAGCACTCCTTGCTTCTGTGAGGGCTGCAGCAGTGGCTGTCTCGCCTTTCAATAGGAGTCATTGACCAACATATTGTGAGTCAAGAGAAGCAGAGCCAGAAAATTTGATTTGTAGCATTATTTTGTCTTGAGCTGCTTAAGGTGGGGACAAGTGGCCACTAGATACTACTCAGAAGGGGGCAGATGCGAGACCAACAGAAAACCAAACAAGGTTGAAAGCTCTGCCAAGCTGCTGAGGCCCATACAGAGCATAAGCTTGAATGGTCTCTGTGCTCCTTGGCATTTGCTTAAGCAAGCAAACAGCTTCTGATAATCTTGTTCTCTTTCTTGCCAATCATATTGCCCTGCTCAAGGCCTTTTGTATAAATTAGATCCCTGCAGGAAATGGGTAATGAGATCTACTTAACCTTTTGGCATAGCAGAAGCTATGGAAGTGCATGGTTAAGGGGAATGAGCTTTAGTTGAAAAGGAAACTGATATCTAAATAGCAAACCAAAACTGCCAATTAATATGCACAGCAGTATGAGGCAATCTAGCGCGAGAAAATAATTGGAGAGCCTGAACCCTGATTTGTAAAAGTTTGGGGCACCATTGCTAAAGGCTCTATCAACATTTGTGCAGCCTATCAGCAATTAGTGTCACCTCAGTGATGACTTCTCAGTGGTGCAAGGAAACTTCTTATGCCAGCCACCAAGGGAGAGGTGAGAAGAGCCAACCCTGAAAAAGCTGCAGAGACTTTTAGGAGTGACAGCTCTGCGTAATGCTGTGAAAACCTCCCAGACTCATCACCCACAATGAAGCAGGATGAAGAAAATAGCTCTGGGTCACAGACGGGTGAGAAGAAAGCCTGAAATGTCAATGTTAGCTCTAGCCTCCATATTGGTGTGCATGAATTGCTCTTAGCGATAGTCACTTTGGTTTTTGGGGAGATGAAGTGTAAGTGAACCCATTGGTTGTGAAAAGTGCTCTCTTCCCAGCACAAGCCTGCAGTCTGCTGCTTGTCCAGCATGAGTGAGCAGCCATGCTCAGTTCATGACCAGAAAACTCACTGGTCTGGTTTTCCCTTACACGAACTCATTCTCGCTCACGATCTAAACTCAGCAACCTTTGCTGGACCTGCAGGGGAACATTTTACTTGCGCAGAGAGAACCGTGTGCTGTGCAAGCCAGATAAGGTCATGGCAGGGAAATTGAAGCTGCCAGTTCTCCAGGTGCTTACACTCACTGTTAGTCCCACCATGGCTGGAGGACCTGCACGCAGGCCGAAGTGTCTGGAGGACCGTGATCTCAGGAGGTGAAATGGAGGAGCATCCATCAAAACCTGTGTGGCACTGTGCTTGTTTTGTTCAACTCTCTTTGCCTGTGCTTGGGACACCTGCAGCCACATCTGCATCCTGCCTGGGTCTAGGCTGTCCTCCCCATGCCCAGGCACACTCAGGTGAATGGCTGGCTACCCTGATGGCCAGGAGTCCAATTTAAGTGAGATGATTCGCAAAAGAAAACCAGATGGGCGCTTACATGTGTGCTACATTGGGCTATATAAGATAAACACCTGATGTTTAGGTCTTAAGCTGGCATAATAGCTGAAAGTGAGTATTTCACTCCCAAGAGTTCATGAAGAAAGTAACTCCAATCCACACCGATTCCATGAAAGCAGAGATGTACTTTTTATTCCTATGTTGTAAATTCATGTTTCCAAGAATTTATCCTTGTTCTCTGGCAATCTAGGGAAGTTTTCTATTTTGCAAGATGTGTATCAATAGGAAATGAGACTCCTAATACAAACCTCCGTCACTGAGATTGGACTTTTCACAGCTCACAAAGGAGAATGTTTTCCCTTCTCTATATGCTAGTCACTCTTTTAAATCACTACATTACTAAAACTCATCTATTCTCTGTCAATTATTTGGAGTGCAGTGCATATCCAGTTGAACTCACTTCTCATTACAGCCCATTTTAAATCACTCCTCGTTTAGCTAATTCAGTCATCACAGAATTGCAAGAGGCATATTATATTTTATTGATGCATTTAGTTCATCACAGAATTATAGAAAGTACTGAACTTCCTAGGTCTATTTGCAGATGGCTCTTGGGATGCAAAGGAAGGTTTCATTCCTTTCCTTGAAAGACAGTTCTAGATTTCAGATGAGAGCAATC